CAACAGTTTCCATTTTAGCATCTGGTAATGCATAAAACCCTTGCTCGTTAGTGTTTTGTCTATCTGTATGTGGGGATGATGCAATAAAATGCAAAATTTCAATATATAACAAAGGAGTAACCTGGGAGCTCAGATGCAGGGGCTCCTCCTCCTTCAGGCTGTCGCATGGATTGGCATATCTGAACTAATTGCTTCTGTGCTCGAACAGTATTTTTCGTTTCTACAAATCTCCAAATTTCTTTACTCTACTGTGAAACTTACACGTTCTACAATACAATCTCTTTCTTCAAAATCTTTTCCAGCACAACGGCAAGATGGATCCGGTGTCATGAGTCCAGATGTGGTACCTGCACGGTCGCAAAATCGACGACGACTTTCTTTGCCAGCCTGCACGATCACACACTTTTTCATAGGCTTTTATGGCAAAATTTGTCCTAACAGTTACCCGACATCGTGCGCATCCGCACCATTCGCTCCATTCTGTCCAAGTACATGGAGCAGGTGTTTCGCAATGGATGTTGCACGGTCGAGTTTCTACGGCATCACCTTCACAGCATTGAGCACCTCAAAACTGTTTCATTATTCTGACTCTAGCTCATTTCATTACTTTACTCCTCCAGAACAACTTAAGGAAACAGCGGAATGTTGTTGCACATTATTCTCACTCTAATAAAATCGAAACACTACAAATCTAACCTCTTTGCGAATATATTGCTTGGCGCCGGATACGATGGTTAACGGGTACGATTGGAGTCATGGTTAGTGGTGAACCTACTAGTAAACAGCATAAACAGTGACAAGTCACATTTGACCTAAGTTCCTCAGTGAACTTACAAAAGAATTATATCGGACCGTATTCGCTTACCAGACAAAAGTGGGCTCCTTGCGTAAGAACTCGAAACCCCTTTTTGATGATAGTCCAGCTCAAAGTTGAAGCTATTTGTTGAGAAAAAGTGCTAATAAAAGTTAAATTTATCTAAACCTGGGCTGAGAATGGGATGAACATTGCACTCGATTCCACAACTGAGCATTCGCGGTTTCGCGTAGAAATAGTTTGCTGGCCGCAGCCAGTACACGAGGACCATTCGCCCCATTCACTCCAAGAGCAACATGGGCCTTGAGAGTGCGCTTAGCATTTTTATTATCTTCTTACGGCAACATTACCTGCATCACAAGGCTTTCTCTCAACATCTGTTCCTATGCACGTCCCTCCACCTTCAATTGTCCGCACAGGAGCGCGTCTAGCTGACTCCTATAAAATTATAAAATTTTCATATAATTACATGATTATGCGAAACGGGTTCGGTTATATGCGTACTGTGTGAAGGGAAAAGAGACATGTTCTTCACCCTGTAAACTTCTAACTTCCTCTTGAGCAACTTCCTGCATATTTTGACTAGTTCATTATCTCAGAAATTCATG